GGATGCGCTGGTCCCTTCCAATCTCACCCATGCCGTGCTCCTCATGCTCGTGGTGCTGGGGATCCTTGGCAGGGAGTGGTGCTGGGGCTCTGTGTGCTCTGCCCACAGCCGCAGGTTGCCAGCATCCGACCCCAAATCCAACTCTGGAAAGGCCCTGGGAGTGCTGCTCAGAGGAAGGAAAAAGTTTTATTTCAGGGAAGAGAATTAACAAACAAACAAAGCAAAGCAACCCCGGAGCAGCTGCAGGGAAAATGCACATCTGCTTCCATGGGGTGTGAGGAGATGGGGCTGAGAATGTGACAGGGTATTAGTGCTGGCACCACAGAGGGGAAGGGTTCTGAGGAAGCACAAAGAACATTAAACTTTTCTAGTTTTTAAAGGATCAAAGCTGAAATACCTGCTTTGTGCTTGCCCAAAACCTCCTTCTGCCCTGTGGGGTTCTCTTAGTCTGTTGGCTCATGAAGGCTTTTAGTGCTCATTTGCTGACCCAAAGCCTCAAAATAGGATCAAATACAATTCTCCTGAATCGAAAAACTGCTCCACACGGTTCCTAACACCAAGTGTGGAGTGGTGGCTGTGAGCTGTGGTGGTCACCCCAGTGTGGAGGTCCCTGATGCCCAGCAGAGCTCTCCCCTGCTCCACCAGGATCAGCTGGAGCTCTTCATCCCATGCCTATGACGGGGAGAGCACTTGGCAGGCTCCCCATCCCCACATAACAGGGACAGCAGGAAGGAGCCCTTGGGGACACACTGGTGGCCCTGAGCTCCCCAAAGGGGACAGACATTTTCCAGGGGAAAAGAAGTCATTTCCCCAGGGTCTGGTTATCAGATGAAAGCTGGCATTTGGGGCTCTGAGCACTTGCAGAGGCCTGGTTTCTGGCAGCTTTAGTTTTGGAGAAATACAGCAAAATTTGCAAATTTCTAGCTTGGGTGGCCAGGGTGGCCAGGGCGAGTGGCCGCAAACAGAGGCTATTTTCCAGGGGAAAAATAAGTCCTTTGCCCAGGCTCTGGGCATCAGATGAAAGCTGGCGTTTCTGCCTCTCCACAGCCCCACGGCCCCTGCAGGGAGGGGACAGTGCTGTGACACCCCAGCTCCCCCAAGGAAAGGTGAGTTTCAGCAGATGGGAAGGCATTGGTGCACCCCAGGCCTTTGCACTGCAATAGTCAACCTGTGGTCATTGGCTTTAGGTTTTTCCTTTTTTTTTTCCCTCTTCTTTTTTTTTATTGTGCAAACAGATAGCCATTTTCTCTCACAACACCACAAGTAAACAACAAAGTCAGCCTGCTGAAATGGATCGTCTAAAATGGAATTTTTGAATAATTTATAGCAAGATTTTGTTAATTTCTAGCTGCAATTTAGCACTGAAAAAATATTAGAACTTCAGGTACTGACTGACTAAACAAAATTTACATGGGAATTTTTTTGATTATTACTTTTTGGTTTAGTTTTTCATTTAAAAGATTTACATTGCTATGGAAACTAATTCTAAGACACATTTGCCTCTGGCTTTCTTTACAAATCCCTTAGTTCCTCTTTGATTTTTAAATGTAAAGGCACACAATAAAGCTTTATGCATTTATTAAAATATACAGATTTTGGTAAATTTAGATTTTTTTTCTTAGTATCTTGATTATATATATGTATTATATGTATAGTTGTCAACAACACAGTCATTTGAAAATAAAAATCACTCCATAACATATCTGCATATTTTTTTCTTTCTCATGACACACTACAAGACCCCATTGTACAATGCACCAATGGGCTTCTGGAAACCACAAAAAAAAAAAAAAAAGGATAGAACAAACTGCTTTTAACAAATACACCAACTTCATACCAGAACTGCAGAGAATTGTTACACCAGAAAGTACCACCTTAAAAAAAAAAAAAAAAAAAAAAAAAAAAAAAAGAAGGCAAGATATACATCAGAAAGACTGAACAAAACGAAGTGAAGGTCATTTACAAGCTGGATTTACAACATCCCACGTTGCTGGGGTGTGATTTCGCTGCCATGAGGAGGATGCTGAGCGCTGGGCCTCGCACTGAGGGGTTGTGAGCATGTGGAGTGAATTTGTGGAGGGGCTGAGATCTTACAGAGTCGGCCTGGAAGGTCTGAGGTATTTATGCTCCGTCTGTACCATGCATTTGGCCCCTCAGGGCATGTGCCCCGTGGAGGGCAGGCAGGCACAGAGGGGCTTTGTGCCTCTCACCAGAGGTGGGAGCAGGATGGTCCCGCTCTGCCACATCCTCCTGATGGCCCAGGGATGTGAAAACCTCCCTCAGGGCACCCCCAGGAAAGGCTGGATTTGGGGTTACAGCAAAACAAACACTTGTGCCTCTTCCCAGCCCCCTGGCCAGCAGTGCCCAGAGGTGATGGGCACACCTGGACATTTTGCCTTCTCAGCCTTTGCTCGGGCCCACTGAAGAGCCCAATGCTGCTACAAGAGACAGCACGTGGTTGGCAGAGGCTGAACCCACACATCTCTCAGGAGCTGCCACCCAGAACAGGGAGCAGGGATCCTGTAAACCCACCCATTGGCCACTGGCAAACCCCCAAGACCTGTGGCTTGGTCACCTTCTCCTTAAACACCTCTGTTGGGTGGGATGTGGTACAGCTCCCACCCCCAGCACGGCTGACAGCAGCCCATCCACATCTGTGGCATCAAATGCTGTTCCCTGGGGTACCAGGATGGGGCACAGCCATCTTCCCCAGAAGGGAAAGGAGGATGGGTGACTGGGAATGGGGGCAGCCAAAAGGCTGCTCAGATCCAATGGAGAAGTTCCTACAGACACCAGAGCAAGGGGTCAAGCCCTTGTCAAATTTTACGGCGTGACTAGAGCGGACGTGACGACAGACACTGGTACTGGTAACTGCTCCGTAGCAAGAGATTAAGGCTGCAAGAAGAACAGGCTTTGACCCAACAGGGTGCTTGGGCATGAGTTCATGGCTCGGCAGATGCCCAAATACCGTGTGGAAGCAGGACGAAAACGACTACCTTGGGTGTGGTACAAGAACTGGTAGGAAAATAGCATCAATCTTTCTCCCTGAAAACACACAGCCAGACCTGCGAGGTGCCATCTCTCTTGGGTACTTCTAAGGCATCAAGGATGAGAGCAGCCAAGCATGGGTGGGTGGTGACCGTCACAAGAGGAGCTCAGTGCTGTCGCAGAGGTTTCCTGAGCTGGCCCGTGAGCGGTGCACATTGCAACAGCTTTTCAGTGGGACACACTCAGGATTTCTCCTTGTAGAAGCGTGGTAGGGGTGGGCAGCAGGAGTCAATGCCAGAGCAAAGCTTACAGGTCCTTTAGCCAAATCCTCACTCCCACCCTGAAGATGCTGCAGAGGCCAAACTTCCGTTGGATTGCCTGGAGCACTCCAGGTTAAGATTTGCAGAATTGGATGTTCTTCTCCACTGGGAAAAGGACTGTAGTTTGCCACTGTTTGAGACAGGAGCTGGATGGATACTCTTGCGGCTCCAGGCAGAGCATCTCCGTCAAGTCCTTGCATCTCAGGAGTGATGGGGATGGGCACAGGTCCAGGCACCTTTTGCACCTGCTTGCCTACAGAGGGTAGCAGGCAGGTGTTTTGGGAGCCTGAGTCTCATCCAGTGTACCAAAGCATTAATGATTCTCAATATCCACGAGGATATTTCCATATTGGAAATCCTTCCCCTGTTGACGTTAAATTGTACGCTGGGATGCCAGCAGCAGCCCGTGGTACTGGGGTTGGTCTGGGCTGCACTGGAGACTCTGGGATGGATCCATCTGCAGCCTTCGGCAGCTGGGGGGAGGATGGGAGCTGCTGCCTGATGGGTTTTGGTTACTGTTTATTCAAAAACTGTTCCTCCACCACAGTGTTTTACATGAAGCATGATGGGCTCCACAACTGGACTTGCTGATATGCACTATTGACTGACAGTTCTGTGGGGACACAGGCAGCAGGGAGTCTGATGGCACTTCTGGGGGCCATGGCCATGTTCAGGGGGTTTAACATCCACCTGCTGACCACCTCTGCCCCACAAGCCACCAGCTCTGTTTGGTTTCAGACTGAAGTACGGACACTTACGGAATGAGCAGCATTTCAGTGTTTTTCATACAGCACCTACCAAGCCAAGGTCAAAACCAGAGAATATTGTACAAGGTGCAGACGGCAGTAGGGAGCCAGATTTCAGCCGCCAAGTCCTCTCTGCTTGCTACCCGTGGCCCAGCTCTGCCCAGATGTGGTTGACCCACGGATGCTGTCTTGTGAGGGCATGGATGGGTGTCTGGAGCACTGAGGACAGAGTGAGCACTGGAAGGTGCCCAGCAGAATGAGGGAATTTTTGTAAAAGACACAAGGTGGTGGAAGCAGTGCCCAACCTCAAACTGGTGATGCTCAGAGGAATGTTGACCATTTGTACAAAGAGGGTTGAGCCAAGAGTGGGTCACAGCCCTCACTGTGACCAGGAATGGGATCAGGCTCCCAGCCAAAGATCTGGGGTGTTGGGCCATGCTAGGACTTAAAGGATGGACTGAGACATTAACTGATTTTGAATAACAGTATTGGGGTTTGGGGTGTGGGGATGGATGTGGGGGAAGCACTGCTCTGTGCAGCGTGCCAGAACGGGCCATGGAAACACTGTGTGATGGAGCCAACTATGCACCTCTGAGCTACTCCCAGGGACGAGTGTGTCCATCTCCATTTTGCACCTACCCACCTCTCTGTGCCTCTGGCTCAGCTATCATTTCTAGGTGGATCAAAGGAAAAAAACACACATGCCAAGAAAGTGCCAAAAATTTTAGAGTGGCATCCCCCCGCTGCGACCATTGGGTGGACATTCCCCAGGGACAATTTGACTTGTCCCCTCATGTGGCTCCTTCCACCTCTCAACACCCTCCTGGTTTGGCACATCTCCCACTCCGCTGCCTCCACTGGTGCAGCTGGTGCTGGGAGATCAGCCAGTGCTGGGGGATCAGCCAGCATTCACCAGAACAAGACCCGACTGGTGGAGCTGGGACGGGCCAAGGGCAGTTTTGGTTCGGGGTCAACGGCAATCGCAGAGCGCGTCCCGAGTACCAGAGGTGAGCAGGGCGGTGGTGGAGGACCCGGGGAGGATGGGGCAGGATGGGGGAGCCACGGGGACACTTCCTCATTGCCTGGGCGGCGCGGCGCCCCGCTGCCCGTCCCACTACTCGGGCGAGTAGTCCAACTCGTCGTTGGCGATCAGAGCATCCGACGGCGGTTTGTGCCGGCCTTTGCTTTTCGACCTGCCACTTGTCCGATGGCTTTCCTTGGTGCCTGCCATTTGCTGGTATGAGAAGCTCTTGTCCTCAGAAGGACCCCAGGCTGGGTAGCTCTCGCCCTCGGGGGCGAAGGAGAAGCCGTCGTCCACGGAGAAGGGGTCGACGTCCACGTCGTAGCGCTGGTAGGTGCTCTGGTGCAGGGCCTCCTCCCGGGCGCTGATCTCCAGCGTGCTGTTCCACATCCCATAGCCAAAGTAGATGAGCAGACCTGGGGTGGGCAAGAGGGAGAGGGTTGGACCTCAGCTACTCACCAACCCCGCTAACCCCACCTGATTTCACCTTCCTGCACAAATGCTTTCACTGGCAGCAAATATATCCAGACATCTGATTTCCAGTGGATCATGGGATTAACCTACATCTGCACAGAGAAATCCAGACTCCACATGCCATGGACTAGCCATGGAGGACTAATCTCTGCCAGAAAAACCAATGGGATGTCCCATCCCCAACAGCCATGGATGGGCTGGTGGATCTTATCACACCTAATGCAGTGGTTTAATTGATTAGTTTCCACTGCTGGTAGCTCAAGAGGTGTTCATTATACCCACAGAGGAAAGAGCTTAATCACAGCAGATTAAATTGATGCTTTGGAGTAATATTTTTTTCCAGGTAGAAGGGCTTTCCCTGGATTTGCAGCTTCATGTGTTGACTTCAAGAGCTTCAAAAAAGCACTGAGTATGTCTTCTCCAGCCCAAAAATGCAGATGACAGCCCCTGCCCAATGGCTCAACTTGGAGGAGCTATGAGATCTGCTTTATTCTCTTGCGCTTGTGGACTAAGTGGATTGCAAAGTAAAGCACTATGGATATGCTAGACTCCTGGTTATGTGTCAGAAAGCCTAAATGTGAGGAAAAAAAGGATCCACAACAGAGTCTGTGAGTCCTAAGATGCCCCTACCCCAAAGATAAGAACTTGGGCTAAAAGGAGATACAGTCTACAGATCTGACTTTCCCAGGGCTTCTAGGATTGGGCAGCTCTGGACTTTGGAAAAGCAGTGCTGAAATACTGGTGTGGGCTGCTGAAAAGCTGAAGTGGGTGACAGAGCAAGAAATCAGGCTGATTTCTGTACAAAACCTGCCTGTGAGGCAATTTGCAGAACCCGCCTACTTTGCATCAAAAAAGCCATCAAAATAGTCACCTTTTCATGAAACTGATGTTTTCTGGAGGTGTAATTTTCTATTTAGCTGTGGTTCAGGGGCTGGATAAAATCAGATTTCTAAAAACTTTAGGATGGCAAGGGGCAGATGAGAAGGACTGGGTATTTCCCAGGCATCAGCCTATGCACTCTAATTAGGGAAGTTGTTATTATCAACACCCTTCCAAAAGAGTGTCAGTGAAAAAATTAAAATAAATGAACCTGGGACTCACCCACAAAACACCAGACAGCAAATCGGATCCACGTGACTGTGGAGAGCTTCAGCATGAGATAGATATTCACCAGCATGGCGAAGGCAGGGACGAAGGGCAGACACGGGGCCATGTAGGGCAGCTTCTTGGGGTTTTCTGGCTGCTGCAAGATCACAAACACCAGCACAGCGATGAGCAGGACCATCAGCACCACCAGGAGGACAGCCCACCAGCTCTGCTCAGAAATGTAGTCTGACCCAAAAATGATGAAGGAGCAGAAGATGAACATGAGGACAAAGAGCAGGAGCACACAGGTGGTGACCGTGTGGCCCGTGGCCGCCGTCGGGCGATCCATTTTACCCGGCAGCCCGAGGTGGATCCGCATCGTGTAGTACCGAGGGCCAATCAGCTTCTTCAGCTTGATGAGATAGATGTTCTCAGACTCATCTGCCTCTATCCCCGAGGTCATGTCGACGGTGCCGTAATTGGGGTGATTCACGTTGTAGGCGGATTTATCGGATTTCCCAATTAGCATCTCGTTATCTCCTAGCGACGGCAGATTTTTTGCCCCACACGTGTTGGTCGGTGGGCCAGAGAACTCCTCTCCTTCGCTCCCAGGAGAGCAAGCTTCCTTCTCACAGTCAGCCAGGATGCCCTCCTTCTTCTTGGTGTGCTCCTCGGAGAGGAATTTGACGAAGCCGTCGATGTCGCTCTCGGGCTGGTACCGCAGGAGCAGGACGCAGACGGACACCAGCGTGTAGGCGAGCAGGGTGCCAATGGACATCATCTCAATCAGGTCCCTCAGGCTGACCAGCAAGGAGAGCAGAGCTGCCAGGAACCCGGACACGATACAAGCCACGACAGGGGTTTCTGTGTAAGAGCTGACGTGGGACAAAAACCTGGGGCACAGAACAGTCACAGAAAGTTAAAATCACAGAGGTTTCCTGTTGCAATAACCCTTCCCTGGCTGCAGGGGACAGTCTCAGGGATCCCTTCAGGTCTTGCTGCTTTTTGGAACTTTAATTCCAGGTGGGGAATGGCAACACTGCTGAAGTTGAATTTGGAGTTAGATCTGGGTCTGACCAGCTCTGCAAGGAGCACTTGGATACTTCCCAGATTTTATCCATATAAACTGCTCTCCTTTGCAAGTAGCTCTTGAATTAAACACTCATCCCCACATAATCAAAATCTCTAGGTAACAGCACCAAATGAGAAACTCTAGGGTAGACTGCTTCCTGATATTTTCCCCCCAGGACAATGCTTTGGCTTGTGCCCCACTCTGCACCCACCTTGTCTGTGCATGCCCACTGCTCCCTGCAGTGACAACACTGTCAGGGTGTTGGGACCCCCAAACCCTCCAGCACAATTTCCCCTCAGATCCCAAGAGGCCAGAAATAAATGCCAGCATGGGTATGACTGACCTGAAGAGCAGCCCATCACCAGCCATGGCGTAAATGACTCTGGGCATTGGGAAGAGGGAGCCCAGCAAGCTGACGGTGAGGCCGGCCACGGACCCGATGGCAACGATGAATTTGGCTGCATAGAAGCCATGGACCACGAACATTTCCATCAGTGGGGACTCAGTGTCGATGGCATCATAGGGCACCATCAGCGTGAGGATCATGCTCACCTGGGCAAGGCAAGAGGAGCAGGCAGAACAGGGGTGTCAGCATCAGCACTGGGGGCTGCTGGGGATTCTCAGGGTGGAGGGGATGTAAAATGCTGGAATTAGGTCTGTTTGCACTTTGCTGTAGGGTGGTTAATCCCAAAAACTTTGGAGTCTTAGTATCTGCTACTCAAAAGCAAGAAGGGGACGCTTGAACCTCGCTTGAGGGGTGATGCAGGAATCAAGTGGGACTGGTGAGGTTGGTGGGACTGGCAGGGTTAGTAACACTCACTTTGGCTGCATTCCTGTGTGGGAAATAATTCTGGGGCAGACCCCAAATCCAGATTGCATTGCTTGGAGCAGCACTCTGACCCTATTGGAGTCAAAGAATTTGTTTTCATGAGAAGCCCAGTCCCATGCGGGAGAGATGAGTTTCTTTGAAATGATCAGAACAGTGTTTTTTTTTTCTTTCATAACTAATTTTTGCTCTTTTGCAAGGACAAACTCTGAGCACAGGCATGCTTTTATTGGGGTGCAGAGCAGTGCAATCTCACACAGCCATCCCTGCCTATCCTTCCCCTCACTTGGATCCTCTCCCATATCTCCAGCAGAGGCAGTGCTGCTTTTCCCAGAAACACGGAGAAAGGATGCTGCAATGCTGCTGCTCCTTCTTTGCTTCTCTCCTGGGTGCAAAAATAGCTCTGGACGGGGATGAGAAAAAACTGCCTGCCACCACGTCCCTGCAGCTGGCAGAGGGGTCTTGTCAGGTGACAGGAGCCTGGGGACAAATGGAGAGGAGCCTTGGCAGGCGCTGTGCAGGTGCCCAGAATGACTCACATGGTACATATATATATATATTTACATGCACATATACATATTTATGTACACTCACACCTGTGCAGGGACTACTTACAGACACATAAGCTGTCAGGCACGTGACGAGCGAGGCTGTGATGGCGTAGGGGATGGAGGTGTTGGGGTTCTTCGCCTCCTCTCCCGTGGTAGCGATGATGTCGAAGCCAATGAAGGCGTAGAAACAGGTTGCAGCCCCCTTGAGCACCTGTGGGGAGGATCAAACATCTGGGTGCCAGGAGGGAGGCTGGCACCCAGCCAGGGAGAGGGAGCTGAGCAAAAATGGAGCAGCGCTGTTGTGCCTTGTCTGAGCTAAAGGGTGAGTGGCCACAGGTCAGGGGATGTACACATAGCTCTGGGGACTGACCCTGGGAGCACCCCTAGCCCACTGATCTGGTCTGGGGAAAAGATTTCAACCTGTGCCCTGAGCCATGGAGGCATCTGCAGCTCACCCCACAAACCTGCAGTGCCTGAATACGCTGGGAGATCCTGCCAGTGTCAGAGGAGACAATCAACCAATTTCAGGTTTGCTTCAACAATCCTCCACCCCAAATCCATTTTTATGAGTAGGGATCTGGAACATGTTTGCATGTTCTGCCTTAGCAAGATGTCTCATGTGGCAGCAAGATCCGCTTGCAGAGGAAGCAGGAGAGAGCAGCAGCTGTCAGATGTGAGCCGCTTCCCAAACAACCTCTGTTTTGCTTGGAAGCCACAGACAGGTTAGGAGCACACATTGGAGCACTTGGATGAGGAATTATTTGTACTGTTTGGTTATTTTTTTAAATGTGATTTTTAAAAATATACAATATTAGCGAGGACATTTATAGGAAAGGAATGCTGGAGCAGGGTGAAGACTGCCTGGCTGATCTGGAGCTGTGAAAGCCTTGGAGCTTGCTGGGTACCACCTGTCCATCACACCTCTGTCATCTGAGCTGTCTAGTGATACTGCACACAGTAAAACTCACCTCTTTCAGGGGCTGCCTGTAATTATCCTTTTAAAATATGCCCTATGCTGTTGGGGTTCTCACACTTGTGCTCGGTGATGGATTTACTTTTGCAAACAACTTGTGACACAGTGCACCTGAAAAGGATGAGACCACCCTACTGAGTTGTTTTGTGTTTTGAATATGCATCTATCTTTTAAAACTACTTTTTTTTTTTTTTTTTTTTTTTTTTTTTTCATGCCAAGAGATATTTGGTGTACTGAATTGGAGCAAAACAGATATTTTCTGTTTTCTCTTTCTCACTCCTGTTGCATGGTATAACAACCCAAGTGCAACCCAAAGGTAAATATGACCTCTGTTCTCAAGTAAGCCTCAGAGCTCTTCTCCTCACTGTTGTTCTCTGGCAAAGAGGTATTGATTTACTGGAGGAAGGTGCAGGGACTGTATGGCAGTTTGGGACCCTTTCAATAACCAAGATTTGTGGTTTACTTTACTTTCTTGCTTATTTTTCTGCACAAAACCCCAATGGAGTTGAACAGTGTAAATCTGAGAAATTATCTTGGGTTTAGGCCAGCTGAGATATTTTCAGTCTCTGTTCATCCTTGGATAAAAACCAGTGCAAGCAAGCTAAAAAAGCCAAATATGTCCAAATTCTCAGTAAGCTTTGAGGGAACATCCATAAAATAAGTACTGGCAGGTGGCATTATGAAGTGCTCAAAACAAATACTTGAGAACATTGTTGTTGAAAACCAGCCAACAAAAGTATCTCCCCGCTCCGCAGAGGCTGAGACAGCTCTCTGGAGTGCCCTGTCTCAGATAACCACAGCATTTTGCTCCATTGCCTGGCAATTAATTTCCTTGGGGATACTTCCATGTGGAGTTTGACTCTGCAGAAGGACATTTTGGAAAAGTTCTGGCTTTATGCTAAGAGGAGTTAGGAGATGAAGCATTGCCATACTCTTTGGGTTTGGTGGAAAGAGCAGGTCTGAATCCAAGCCTGCACTCCTGGGATTTGGAGGTCCCTGGCCAAAGCCCAGGTGGATTTAGCAGGGCTGGGTTCTGGAGGGTACAGCAGAATTGGGGTGTGTACACCATGAGCAAGGCTGAGTGTGTGGCAGCACTTAGGTGCTGTGTGTCCCTCTGTGCTCCCAGGACTTACCCCCGGCCATCCGAACGGCAGGAATTGCCCTTCAGCCCAGTTGTCACTTTTGATGTAGAACAGACCAGCAATCATGATGAAGACCCAAACTGCCAAGTTAATGACATTGAGCACGTTGTTCAGTCCCACTGAGTTCTTCACCCCCATGGCCACAATGATGGTGACAATGACAGCAATGACCAGAGCAAGAAGGTCGGGGTACGACTCCTCTCCTTTCCCTAGGTGAGAGAAAAGAGATGTGCTACTCTCCATCCACAGAATATCCAGGAACTCTCGGGAAGAGTTTTAAACACTTTTCAGACCTTGAAGTTTTGCAGAACTCTTTGGTCTCATTGCAAAAGTGGCCTCCAGAGGCCCATGTCTCCACTAGATAAAGTTGTTTAATTAAGGTGATAAATCTCGGTGTCTCAAGACACTGTTCAGACTTTTGGGAGAGCAGCAAACCAATGACTGTGTCCCAATTTGCATAACATGTATCTGCCAAGTACTCATTAAAAATCAATCAGCTATGAAGTTTTCATGACACAGGACAGCTGGCTGGTTTGCTTGCTGGTAGGATTCATGGACTGTTGCTGGAACTGCTGGTCATGCAGGACCACCACAGCCCCCAGTCCCCAGCAGTGCAGCAGACACCAGCTTGTGTTCTCTAACAAAATTCTGTGCGTGCCTCAAGGGGATCAAGCAGAGTGTTTGCACTGGGTGAAGGGTTTCTGTGCCGCCCTTACCCTCCGACATTCAACTATTTCTGTGCATGCATTCTAAATGCCAGCTCATCCCAAAGGGGCTCAAAGTATCCCATATCCCATCCCATCTCCAATCCTGCCTGTGTGCCAGTCTGCTGAGGCAAAACACCAGAGCCAGACAGACAGTAAATAATGAATGAAGCCTGATATCCATGTCTGACTCCTGATGAGCTTCCAATTACATTTCAGGCCCGAATTAATGGAGGTGTCTCTGTGTCACCATGATATTTTATGAAAAATTCCTTTGCCCAGGATTTCTTCTCCTGGGAAGATGAGAAGCCTCAGAGGAAAAAAACCCCCAATATTATCTGATTGCTTCTCCCTGTGTTTTGCTGCTTTGGAATGTGGCAGGCACATCTTTGATTGGTTCCATGTGAATTGTTCTTACTTAAAGACCAATCCCAGTCCAGCAGTGCCGGACTCTCTGGTCTGTGACGGGTTTTTATTATGCATTCTTTTCTAGCTTTCTGATGCATCCTTTCTCTATAGTCTAGTATAGTTTTAGTATACAATTTCTTTTAATATAATATAATATAATATAATATAATATAATATAATATAATATGATACTAAGCCTTCTAAGAAATATGGAGTCAGATTCATCCCTTCTCTTGTCCTGGGGGCACAATATAATATAATATAATATAATATAATATAATATAATATAATATAATATAATATGATACTAAGCCTTCTAAGAAATATGGAGTCAGATTCATCTCTTCTCTTGTCCTGGAGACAAACATCACCAACGCCTCAGCCCAGCAGGACGCACCCAGGCCGTTGAGCGTGCCCACGCTGTTGATCATCCAGCGGCTGATGGTGTGGTTGGCCAGCGAGTCAAACATGCTGCTGAGGGCGCTGGCACCCGCGGCCGTCCCGATCAGGTACTCCAGGATGAGGTTCCAGCCGATGAAGAACGCCACGAACTCCCCCACGGTCACGTAGCTGTAGGTGTAGGCAGAGCCCGTGGTCTTGGGGACCCGCACGCCGAACTCGGCGTAGCAAACGCCTGTTTGGAAAAGCAGGAAGAGGTGTAAGGAAAGAGGGAAATGGAAAAAGTAGAACTGCCTTGGTGCCACCTTCCCGGAGGTGCTAGCAGGTGTCAGGAGCGCAGACAACATCAGGAGCACTGAGACATCGCATGGTGACCCTCCTTCCCCTGTTTCTTGGCTTAAAAACCAGAAATATTTCCACTAGGAAATATTTCTGGGATTTTCTTTTTGAGAAGACACAGTTCAAACCAGCCAGATGTTTACAAGGGATCCTGGACCAGTGCTGCACGGTCTCATCCCAGAGGAAGATGCCACAGGAGGGCTTACAGAAGGGTACACCTCTCTCTGTCCCAGACTTCCAATCCCCAAACACTCATCCTGCATTACTGCTCTGCAGATCCAGGCATGAGCACTGTCCTGATCATCCCTGCTTTTGTTCATACCCAGGCAAGAGGAGTTTGAAGATGTCTTACATAGAGAACATAACTTATTTTAACACTTTAAAAAATATTTTATTTAAGTCTTCTAAAGAATATTTGCAAAACTAACTGTGCAGAAGAAGAAAAGAAAAGCAAAAAGAAGTATTTAACCGTAAACGTTTGGGAGGAGAATTCATCAGACTTCAATACTTTTTGAACTCCTTGTGTGCTTACTATGTCAGGATAATTTTTAATAAAAACTTGACCCTGACACGTTGATGTATTAAAACAACCATTAGCTTTTTAAAAAAAAATGAATGGATGTACTTAGTCTCAAATTCCCCAAATATTATTCAGGAGAAGTGCTGGAAGGGTCCTGCATGTTTAACACTGATTAGGCCCCTGCCCCAAAGACCCCAGTAAAGTTCATAATGGTGACTTGGTTAAGGCTGTTACTATCATTGAGTAAACACGTAGTAATTATTGAGCTCTCTATCAACTGATATTCTCCATTTAGAAGATAATAATTGCTTCAAATTTGCAATCAGTTTAGTACAGAGAGGGGAATGAATAATTTATAAAAATGTTATGAGGTGGCTGCTCTTCCTTAAGTGCTGTTTTTACACTGTACAAATACAGAGTTGTTGAATCTCTTAAGCTGAATTTGGTGGTGCTTGTTTTCTTGCTTTTGGAGGATTTTTATATTCCATTCACTGCTTAACTTGAATGTGGGTTGCTTTGCAATGGGACTCTTCAAAACTTGATTTCTGTAAAGCAGCCCAACGGGAGCCACAAGAGGTTTCCATCATCCATCCAGCCCTACCGACAGTCATTATTCAAAGCTGATGAAAAATGCATGCACTCGGCAAAGGTACGGCGTTCACAGATAACTACAGGACTGAATGATTTATGAAACTGGTGTTCTGACGAAGACAAGTATCTAGTTTCTCTCCTTGATGGCCTTAAAAGAAAAAAAAAATATATATATCTATATATATATATATATATACACACTCTTTCTTGTAGGCAGCTCTTATTTTAGCCAATGACAAGATAATGATTGAAGAAGATAGTTATCAACACACAACGATAATGCTAAAGCAAAGAAATGAATATGTATAAAATGTTGGAGTTTTTGGTTATTCTACTTGGATCCCAAAATAGAAGGACTGTTTTTCACTATGGGTTGGGTACAGCAATAGGTTGAGAATATCAGCATTAGGTGTCAGCATGTATTACACACAAACATATATATAATAGATACTAATATCTGTTGCATTTGCACTGTATTATTACTATTGTTGTTGTATTAATTTTTTAAAATTATTTTTTAAAAATAATCTAACTGCACAATAAAACTGTGTTACTCAGGAGCTTGAACTCCTTGGCAGTTCAAGCTATTCAGCACCTTGTTCCCCTGTAACCAGAGGAATGCAGCTCTCCCAGTGCTCCTGCACAGCCAGCCCAGCTCTGGAACTGCAGAGAGAGGTTGGGTACATCCTCCCTGTCACAACTGTTTAATTTGGAGACAGATTTACCTTCTTCCCCCCAGTCAAGAGTGTTTGCAATTTCTGAAGAAAACAAGACAACACAGTGGTTTTTTGAAAGACCAAGCATTCTACAGAGGATAATTTCTTTTCCTTGAATATCTGCTACCCTTGTGCAATTGGTGTGACAGTCATTACACTTGTTAATTATACAGTCACTGACATGGTTCAGCAGGACATAAACACAGCTGAGTGGTCTTGGTCCTCCCAAGATCCCACCCACAGAGCAGCCACTGGGCAGCACAACTGGTGGCATGAGAGCTGGTGCTTTTGGTGTGCTGGCATGGTGGTGGTTGTGATGTGGGTGCTGACCCTGCCACTGATACTTGGCACAAGGCTACACAGGAACCATGAGACATCCCACAGGGCACTGGCATGATGGCAGTGATGATTCAGGTGAAAAACAACTTCTGAGAGGGGCCTTTCAGCTGCTCTGGAGGTAACTCCAAATAACTCATGCTACCACACCAGAAATTCAGAGGGACCATCTCTCATCAACAAAGAGCAGCCAACTTATTGAGGAAGCATATTATTTTCATCAAGCCACTGAGCCTGTCCATTGCATTTCATGATCACCATGTGCTGACAGATAAAAGGCAGCTCCATAAAGAAAGTTTCCACAGAGCAAGGACTCCCATGTCTCCATCTCCATAAAGAAATCTTCCACAGACCAAGGACTCCCATGTCTCCAGCTCCATAAAGAAATCTTCCACAGAGCAAGGACTCCCATGTCTCCAGCTCCACCCAGGCAGCTGCAGGTGCAGCCCCTCAGCCCAGCCCTCATCCTGCAGCCAGCAGCACCTGAGGCACATGCTCAGCTCCCCTGTTCCATTGTGCATCCTGGCTGCTGCTGATCCTGTTCCTGTACCACCATCAGGTAAGAGTGTGGTACTGTGCTCCAAACTAGGTTATTGCTTTAGGAGAGAAGATCACTAAAGGGATAAGAAATGGGTGGTGGGAAAGGCTGTGGAGAGGGATAAATGGGTGAAAGCGGGGAATGCTGGTGGTCGCAACTGATGGCAGGAGCCTGAAGTGCACTGGGGGCTTTGTGGAGAGAAGCTGGGCAAGCATTTCTACTTGAGAGATGAATGAAAGGCCTTCTAGTGAGAGAACAGAAGAGATTGATTTGATTTATCAGTTCAATCAATTATAGTGTGTTTATGAGTACCCTGATGAGGTATGTGTTGCTTAAAACTATGGAAGGCATAAGTGGAATTTGTTGAGTAGATGAAATTGGAAAAGTACCTTTCTGAAACCAGGCTTAATAGTGCAAAGAGGCTTCCCTATGGCAGGGCTTCCCTATGGCTGTCTCCCTCGGAAGCCAGATAACGTTCTGGATGGTTTTGGTTTGTCAGTTTTTTAAAATATAAAATCCTTCTGGGCTCACTTTTGCAAGCAGTGGGGTTTGACTTAGTGATCTGTGATGGACAAAGCAAAAACTCCTTAAAGTCTGTTTGTGCACACTTGTCCAAACTCAGTGCCTGGCACACCAGGCATGACCACAACAGGAGAGCTGAAATCACATCCCCAAGGAGTCTAACAGCCCGTCCAGCTCCTGAATTCTTACTTGGCTTTACTTGCCAAAAAAGTGTTGCTGTTACAAACAACAGCAGCGTTAACGATGAAGTGAGGAAGCAGCCAAGGAGACTATCAAAACACTGCATCCCTCACAAAACACTTTCCCAGGGCTACAAAAGCAAGGGGAGATGAAAGCGGAGCGGGAAGCGGCGCAGGCTCCTGTGGGCAAAGGCGGGAGGAGCTCCTGCTGCGGGGCAAGGCTTGTGTCTGGGGTGAAAAAACCCCTTTTGGAGAACAGTGTGTTTTTGTTAGCAGAGACCCACCCAAACTCCCTTTGCTCTTGGTTTGCATCACTGCCAACAAAACCTTTACAGAGGAGAGAAAGCAGGCGGTGGGGAAGGAGAGACACTGATGCTATCTACTGCCTTGGATAAAAAACAAGCATTTTGGTTCATTTGTTGTGTTGGGCACCCAAAATAAACGTTGGATTTCGGTGCAAGCTCTCAGGTCTTGTTGTGGGCTTTGGAGAGAGCCTGAGGACTATCCCTAGCCTGTGCCAGGGTTGTGTCTCTGGGCTGCAGGGACATCAGGGCTTCAAACTCCCACTCACTTTGGTGGGATCTCAATGGAGATCTGCAAACTCCAGAGAAAGACCACGATGTGCTTCCACGTCTCATGACAAAAATCCAGAGTTTTGAAAAGCTGATCTGGGTCACTTTGCTGTGTTGGCTCTTCTATCAAAGCCTTTTGCCATTTGCTCAGGTTTCTTTATCCAACCCACAGACAAAAGCTGGATACCAGACTGACACAGCATGCAAAGTCCTCTGAGCAGAGAGAGCAGGAACATCACATCATCGTGTTAGCACTGATCTGGAAAGGACAAATGCCAGCAGTACTGGCTTCATGGAGAAACTGCAGCTCGAGCCATATGCTCAGCTGGGTTCCTACAGAGGAGATAGAATTCACCGTGTTTTCACTAAAATACATCATTTCTTTCTCCCTGCACATTTTTTTTTTTTGTTTTTTTTTTTTTGTTTTTTTTGGTTTTTTTTGTTTTTTTTTGTTTTGTTTTGTTTTGTTTTTGTTTGTTTTTTTTTGTTTGTTTGGAAATTCAAAGACTGACCCTGCATGAATGGGAGCCAATGAAATCAACTCCAGAACTAATTGAGGAATTTTTTAACTGTTAGCCATGTCAACAAAAGAAGCTGGCCCTGGTACTGCCCAAGCCACTGACATCTTTCCTGTTGGAGCTGAGTTTCCTACAAGCTCTCGCTCCAGTGCTGTGGCTTGGCCACACTCACGGCCTAGGACACACTCTGCAAAACTCTCAAATATCTCAAAAATATTGCCCACAGGCTGCATTCTTGTAGAAGCCATTGGCAGCTGATCAGGATAATGCTTGGCTGCTGGTTCCCAATACAAGGTTTGGCCTGATATTTTGGCAACGAGGGACAGCACACCCCATGAGCTGTGTGAGACCTGTGGGAAACGGTTTTGAGTTGGTTGGGAGGGTGCTGCCTCCTTGTAGCTTGTGGTGCTGAGTAAGTGTCTACCCACGAATGGAGAGGATGCAGGAAATGGCACATGACCCAAAACCTCACCTGACAAGATGGACGCGACGGCAGCGATGATGAAGGACACGATGACCCCGGGCCCCGCCATCTCCTTGGCCACCAGGCCGGACACCACGTACATGCCGGTGCCCACGCAGCTCCCGACGCCCAGGGAGATGAGGTCGAGGGTGGTGAGCACCTTGGCCAGCCGGGCGCCCTGGCTGGCCGCGGCCCCGCTGCCCTCCAGCATGGACTCCACGGGCTTGGTGCGCAGGACGCGGGCGCGCAGGGCATGGCCCGCCGCCCCCCAGGGCACCCGCCGCGGGTCCAGCCGAGAGAGGAAGCCACTCATGGTGCTGGGCTGGGCAAAGCTGGGCCACGGACGGGGTCAGCAGCACCCACTCAGGGCTGTGGCTGTGTCTCCATCCTGCGCTGGCAGCCCTGCGAGAGAGGGGAACAGAGTTTTTGACTGAAACAGCAGGAAAAAAAAAATAAAAGAATCAAAAGGGCTCCCTAAATTGGTTTTTGGTGGGCTCCGGTGCTGGCAGAGCTTTGCTTTGACCAATGCTGCTGGTGCTGTGGAGAAATCTCTTTTCCCCACCCTCAGTTGTTTTGTACAGCACCCTCAGTTCTTTTGTACAACAGCGATGCACTGCCCTCCTTTGTGTTCACATGGGTTTAGCCTCAGTCATTACCACAGCGCTACAAACAGCAGCGACCTGATTTCCTCCAAATTCTCATTACGTGGCTTAGTTGCTGCCAAAAGTGATGGTGGCTACATGTAACTGTGAGGTGCTGGTGGCCACTGGGCCCTGGTGGGGACAGAGTGTGACTCCGAGCCTGTAGTTAAGGCAAACTGGGAGAAAAGCTCAGCAGGAGCAGTGTGGGCTCCACTGGCCGCTGGGGAGTGAGTGACTGACAGCATGGCCAGCTGCAGCCATTTTTAACACTTTTAAATTATCTTGTCTGAGCCCACGTGCTCTAGGATTGTCTCAACAATCGTGGCCTTGTCTTGGTTTCCTCTTTCTCTGTGCTTTTTTCATCCCCAGTCCTATTTTCAAGAACAATTCAGCAACTCCCATTCCCCCCTTCCTCCCTCCCTCCCTCCCTCCCTCCCACCCTTTCTGCTGTTCTTAAGCAAACTGTGTTGTTCTCATAGTACCAGCAGCAGGGACTTCCAGGTGACACATAATCACTTCTTGACTTTGAGCAAACCAAGAACTGACAAGCTGCAAGCTAATACAAGGGAACAGGAAAAATAGTTTATCAAATATGAATTTTTACCTGGCAGCTTCTTCCCTCTCAATACAGAAATATTCTTTTATTTTAATTGCCTTGAAGACAAAACACTTATTTTTTTTTCATCTTTACATCCAAAACAAATTACATTGTGTCCACAAGGCAACCTTGTGTTGCTGAAGTTTATTAAACGAAACACAGCATTCATTTCATGTTTTGGTTGATCACTGTTCAACTTGTGCTGATTTTTTACCTCGAGCAACCACAGGTTGAAAGGCTGCATGCTCCAGCTAGGAATAATAATGAGAAATTGTTACTGAGCAAATGTGGATCTTTGGGTTGAGAATAAAACCTGGGTTTGGCTTTTGGGTTGCTCAAGGAGTCATCTGGCTGTGGGATGGGCTGGCTCACAGGTGAGGTTTTACTTTCTAGCTTAAAGGAAGGTTTTTTGTTGGGTTTGCACCAGCCAGGATGAAACAGACCTGTTTTCATGGAATAAACATGGAAGTGTTTAGCTTTGAAAAGAACTCTGAGATTATCAACTCCCACCATTAACCCACGTTCTCAAGTGCCAAATCTCTGCCTCTGTTAAATCCCCCCAAGGGTGGAGACTCCACCAATTCCCTGGGCAGTGTGTTCCAGTGCTTGACATCCCTTCCCATGAAGAAATTTTTCATAATATCCAATCTAAACCTTCCCTGGCACAACCTGAGATCATTTCCTCTCATCCTGTCACCTGTTCCTTGGGAGAAGAGACTGACTCCCACCTGGTTCCAACATCCTTTCAGCTGTAGAGATCAATAAGGTCCCCTCTGAGCCTCCTTTTCTCCTCAGGGCAATGTGCTCCTGTCCTGGCACCTCCACAGTGGCTCTGCTTTGCCAGGATTGTGTTTTAGCTATGTGGAAAACAACAACCCTAAGAAAAACCACCCAAAATTAATCCTTTTATCCAAAGCACGGCACCTCTGGAGTGTGGGCTGGAAAAAGTCTTACTGTGCTTCCCACTTTCCATCCTTTATTTAATTATTTTCCTTGATCTTTGTGACTTCTCTTAGTTGAGTTTGAAAGACTTGGATTTCTGTGCTAGGGTTTGCATGAAATTTAATTAAACTAGTGAAGTAGCTGGGTCTTCAGAAGAGGTAGGATGGTGTGGGATGAAGGCATCAAAGCTTCAGGCTGGTCCTAGGTGCCATAACCAGGTCATGCTCTGGCATGGGAAGACCTGTCCTGTGTTTTAAGGGGGATTGGGAACCCAGTTTTTCATCATCGTGTCTCTGGGTGTCTGATGAAGGCTTTGGGAAGGGTGGCATATGCTCCTTAATGAAGGAATTCACATTCACACTGGAAAAATTAGTGAATTCCTCAGCCTGAAGATCAGAGATGACTGATTTGGACAGCCCAGTACACTCTCAAGCCACATCATGGTGTAGAAATTACTTTCTTATCAGTATTGCAAAGAACCCCAAGAGAAGACAGGGCAGTCTTGTCCTGGAATAATCTTAACTGCTAAAATGATGAAAAAAACCCTTAAATATTTTAAATGGTTTAATTTTAAAGCAGGAACTGGCTGGTGGATTAGTGATGCACCCAGATTTAGGCTGCTGAGCTGTTCCAGCTGCCTGGGGCTGGGCTGTGACCAGGTCCTCCTGCATGGCAGCCCAACAGAGCCCTGCAATTCATGGGGTTTAGTCTTCTCCCATAAGTCATCAAGGAAAAAAAAAAAACAAAAACAAAACCCTTTCAAAACCTCTGAAATGAAATAACTCTATAATTGCTGCTATGCTCAATTAAAGCAGTCATTCAAAACTGTTCCAGATGTTTAAGCAAGACCAGCATATTGCTGCTATGTATCTTGGAAAATATCCTTTCTCTCCATTTGAACCAGGATAAAATATGTCGTGGATGGCAACCACCTCCATGGGGCAGGGGCAGCTCACTCCTGCTCTGCTCCACTCACCCTGCCTGTCTAGAAACAGACACTGGGAAGCAAAAGGAATTTTTACTTGTTTTGTTTTGTTTTTTTTTTAATCTCTTCACCATAAACCCAGGAAGATGAAGGGAGCTGTGGGTCAGAGGGAGCAAGCTAAAGCTGGGTTTTGGAGCTGCTCAGCTTTCCACCATCAGGCTGTTGGGGTTGGTTTTCCTCGCTGGCTGGCACTTGCTGCTGCCACCATGTGCTTGTCAGCACCACTGTTTGTACCAAAACACTCCTCTTCATCAGGGTAAATTGACTAAAACTGCAATCGAGCCAGAAGGAGAGACATAGGTGTTTACAGGCATGGATATTCCTTAGTGTCTGGGTTGATGCTGAATTATTCCTGGTATAAAACTCGTTCTGCTGGGGAGATGCAGCACAGTGCCCCCCCCCAGCATCTCCCATCCTCATCACCCCCCAAGGCTCCAGCTTCTCTAGAAAATTGTCCCCAAACCACACCTGTGCCTTGGGGTGGCTTTCAATTTCCTGTTAATGACTCCCCTCTGTCCAGAAGTCTGTAGGGGTATCCATGAGCAAAGATGTCTATTAAAATCTGCTGGGAATGCAACAAGGAACAGAACATCGATGGTGGTAAATGGAACAAAGAGAGCTCCTGGTGTTGTATTGATGGAAAGCCAGGCAGGGGCACTCATTAAGATGAAAAGGTTGGGTTTTCCCTGGTTTTCCATGGCTCACAGAGTAATTACTGCAGAGGAAATATTGCTGATGCCTCTAGCAGTGGGATCAGCATGGATCTGGCCCTGGCATGCAGGACACCAGTGCCCGGTTTGCTGCAGAGGTTTTTAGGGGGACAGTCCCTTTCTCCTTGCCCAGGGGAGCTGTGCTTCAGAAATCTGGGATTGAAGCAGGTTCCTGTGAACCCCCAAGGCAGTGCCTGCTGTGGACCTCAGGAATATTAATTCTGATGTTTATGGTGCAGGAGCATCAGCCCTCAGACCCACTCCGTGCCCCAGCAGGGACTGTGTGCCAACATCACCCCCGGACAAACAGAGCCCCAAAGGCTCAAAGGGATACTGGAGGCAGCCCGAGATGATGGCAAAGGCATCTCCTGGCAGCAAACCCCGCTGCAATCCCAGAAAAAGAACAAGACAAAAAAGGAGCAAACGTGCTAGGCTGACCTCCCTGCTGCCCCTTCCCTTTTCCCTTTAATCGTGAGCTGGGTAACGGCGGGGCGGGTTTGTCTGGAGAGGCTCAGGGGCTGAATTTCATCCCAGCTCCTCCAGCAGGGAGAGGCTGACGTCAGCCGGGCAGCAGCTCCGAGCGCAGGGATGCTTCTGCCGGGATGCGCGGCCCCGAAATGTTTTCATTACGAGTGCGATTTGATTTGGAGCTTTATGCGCTTGTTTTTACAGTGCTGATCCCCAGCTGGGCTGCCACTGTAAAAGCTGGCTCTGTCTCCATCACCAGCCCTCCTAAAAGCGATTTAAAAGGCAGGCACAGAGCCGAGAGCGAGGGCTGGTCCCTGCCGGTCCTGGCGCTGCTCACGTGGGTCCAGCTTCAGCAATCTGGCCTTGTGCCTTTGCTGGTAATTTTTGGGCTTTTCTTATTTTTAATCTTTCCATTTTTACCTCTGCTAGAGCAGTTCAAGTGGAGCTGTGGTTAATTTAAACTACAGTAGTTGCTAAATTAAACCACTGATAACACTTCATGTTTAAGACCAGCTTTCTCTGTGCATCAGCTGAAAAAAATTGGATATTTTCTCTGTGTCTTCTTGGAAAAATGGAAGAGAAGAGGTTGAACAGCACTTTTCTATCATGCTTCTATCAAGGTTATACTGAGTGCTTCGGCAGTGTTAGCACTGCTGTAAGATGGCTAAACATCATTATCTTCTTTTGACAAATAAGCAAAATAAATGAGGAAATGTTTATTTTTGACCAAAGACATAAGGCAAGGGTGCCATGCACCCAGAGGCAGCCTCCAGGAATTCCTAAACTTTGTATTCCAGGCTATAGTGCAAGTATTAAAAAGAGCATAAATGTGTAATCCAGTGATATAATTAGCATGTACACAGAGATCACCCTTTCTCCCTCTTCCCAGCCTTCAGGGGGATACAGTGTGATGGTTTAGCTGCTGTCCTTGCTGGGCAGAGACTGGACTGCCTGGATAATCAGGGAAAA